CACACACACACACACACACACACACACACACACACACACACACACACCTCCTTAGATTCAGGCAGACATATGGTCCATGGGATCTGTTTATTATCAGGCTCAACTGTAAAAAAACACTAAGCGGTTTAAATGGGATTTTCAATTACAGAGATCCCTGTGTGAGTTTAATTATGAATCTCTTATTTTAGACAAGAATACAGTCTACAACACTTATATCAACAATTAAGGGTGTTATTAAACAAAGCACTGTTAGCTTTTATTAGCTAGTGCAACTGAGTTTTATTTTTATTTAAAATTTGGCTGACTGTGTGGAGAAGGGGGGCTGATCCTGTAGAATTCATGCAGGTCAAACTCCCATTGACATTTGCAGGAGTTTTGCTTGGGTATAGGCTGCAGGATTGGGCCAGGGGAGAACTTCATAAGAGACACATTTTGTGACCTGATTCTCTTCTCAATTTACATGAGTTATACACGGGTGTAATCTCACTGATACCAGTAAATTTACAACTGATTTATAGCGTTTAAGCAAGAAGAAAATCAGACCCCTAGTTTTATTATGGGTCCTTGTAGAGCATATTATGTTGCATATATTGAATAGGCTTGAATAGGAATTTTAAACATAGTCAAGATACTTCTTTTCACTGTTCAGGTACAGTGTATTGTCGATCAGCTCATCACTAACAAGAGTTCTTTATTTTAAATAAGCTAAGATCAATCATTTCTAATTTTGTTCAGTTATCTATGGACATGTTTTTAAAAAGTGTTTAATTTAATGTATAATTGTAATAACAGGACTTATATAGGCACAATGTACCCTGGCCTGGAAAATAGACACAATAATTTCATTTACTTGTATATTTTTTGGTTGTCCTGTTAGGCATTGTTGAAAAAACAGATCCCATTACTTTGAAACAAATATATATTGGGTCTAGGAAGAGTTAATGAACTTTTATGGCCAGGTTGAGATTGGACTGACCCCATGGTAATATTTCATCTAAGGTTACTGTTGGGAGAGAAATCAAATTTCAGCTGTGAACATGATTGACAGGTAAATGCAAGAAAAAGAGAGACATCTGCTCAGATGGGGAATTTGGGAAGGAGAAGGCCAGTTCAGGGAAGTTTCTCTGTGATATTAGGAATAATAAGCTTAGATATGAAAAGTCCAATACTTTGCACTCTCTGGAGGCTCACTTAGTTTATTCTCATAAAGTCAGTTTGGTTAAGGGAATTTAATATTATAGGAGGATAGTAGTGGACAGTGGTGTCAGTGATCTCATTGCTAATTTGATTTCTTTGAAGGAATTATGTGATTTCTAGCATATTTGTAGCAATGCAGGCAATTCATATGATGTGTGTAAATAAAGTCTATTGTAGCTGTTGATTAAGATACAGTCACTATACAAACATCTCTTTTGATATATGTAAAGGTAGTAAGATTATGGACCAAATAAATCCTTGGCATAATTCCATGCACTTTTTCCTGTGAAAGTCAGTGGGAGTTGGTTCATGTTCCTGATATATATCACTATATTAATAATGAAATTAAAATATAAGCATGGATATGAGGTGGTATTTTATGAGATAATCCATATAAAGCTGGGGTGGGCAAACTTTTTGGCACGAGGGCCACATCTGGGTATGGAAATGGTATGGTGGGCCATGAATGCTCACGAAATTGGGGGGTTGAGGTGTGGGAGGGGGTGAGGGCTCCGGTTGGGGGGTGTGGGCTCTGTGGTGGGGCCAGAAATGAGGAGTTCAGGGTGCGCGAGGGAGCTCTAGGCTGGGGCAGGGGGTTGGGGGGTGTGTGTGGAGGTGAGGGCTCTGGCTGGGGGTGCGGGCTCTGGGGTGGGGCTGGGGATGAGGGGTGCAGAAGGATGCTTTGGGCTGGGACCAAGGGATTTGGAGGGCGGGTGGAGGATTAGGACTGGGGCAGGGGGTTGGGGCGCAGGAGGGGTCAGAGGTGCAGGCTCCAGGCAGCATTTACCTCAGGCAGCTCCCGGAAGCAGCAGCATGTCCCCCCTCCGGCTCCTACGCAGAGCCACAGCCAGGCGGCTCTGCGCGCTGTCCCATCCACAGGTGCTGCCCCTGCAGCTCCCACTGGCCACAGTTCCCAGCCAGCGGGAGCTGCAGGGGCCGCGCTTGGGGCGGGGGCAGCGTGCAGAGCCCCCTAGCTGCCCCTACACGTAGGAGCCGGAGCGGGGAGATGCTGCTGCTTCTGGGAGCTGTGCAGAGCCACGGCACGCATGGAGCGGGGCAAATGCCTGATCCCACTCCCCGGCTGGAGCGCCGGAGCGGGGAAAGCCCCCGACCCTGCTCACCGGCGGGAGCTTAAGGGCCAGATTAAAATGTCTGAAGGGCCGAATGTGGCCTCCAGGCGGTAGTTTGCCCACCCCTGATATAAAGCCTCTGGTGATGTTAGTGTGGGTCTTGTGCAAGATTGAAGGCTGGTATATGGCCCTAAACATTCTTTCCCAATGTATTTGTTACACTATCCAACCTTTCCTGTTAATTTTATTTGGTGCAGAAAAGCATTTCCACTTTCTAGCATAAGGGAGTCAACAGCCAAGAGCAAAATGCCACAGCAAGGGCCAAATTATGCCCTGTGATATGTGTCTCCATTGCCTTTGACGTCAGTGGGATTTTAATGCTATTTGTGTGAAGGCCAAATTTGGTTCTTCTTACACAGACCGTAATATAATGTTCCTGTTCCCCTTATAGATGAACGGCAAGAGCAAATCTAATTGTTTGTGGACTTTACAGTTTATAATCACCTCCTAATATTTTTTTTTCAAAATAAATGAATTCTTTTTGCTTATTTTTGGAGGATTACCTTAGTAATTTTTGGAGGGCTGCATTGACGGTAACGCAATAGCGTGAAACCTAAACTGCAACTCATCTGCCTCTCTGCTGAGGAGGAAGAGATAGTGGGTGAAATCCTGACCCAGTGAAGTCAATGACAAAACTCTCACTGACTTCCTGGGGCCAGAATTTCAGCCAGTGTGTTTAAGGGCTGTCTAGGCAGGAAGCTATACTGGTATAAGGAAAGGTGTGAATGCACACTTACATAACCCCCCATATGGAGACTAGAACTAAACTATTGTTGTATGTAAAGTAAATAAGGTTTTTAAAATGTTTAAGAAGTTTCATTTAAAATTAAATTAAAATGCAGATACCCCCGGACTGGTGGCCAGGACCCGGGCAATGTGAGTGCCACTGAAAATCAGCTCGTGTGCCGCCTTCGGCACGCGTGCCATAGGTTGCCTACCCCTGGTTTAAATTATACTAGAAAAAGCTGCTCTTATTTCAGAAGAAGAGTGTCCATAGGGAAAGTTATACCAGTATAACTCTCTTGTTATAATTATACAGATGTAGTTTTGCCATTGAATTTCCCTATGTAGACAAGCCCTGAAGTTAAGGTGAGGATAAGAAGAATTAAAGAACACACACACATTTCCTTTCCCTTTTGCAGCTTACCATTAAGAACTTTCATGCAAGGGAAACCTTTTAAATAAAGCAGGCTTAAAATATAAATCTATTCACTTTTCATTTGATTTTTTAGGATTTGCTCCTTGTACCCACACATAGTTATTAAAAAGATGTGCTTGCACAGGAACTTGCTCTTTCCCATGCTTTGTTCCTGTCCAGCTTTAGTCTGCATTGAAGTCAGAATGTAGGATATGACTTCAACATTCATTTTCACGGCAACAGACTGTGATGTCACAAACACTGGATGATGACTTCAATAGAGACAGTAGAAGGCTGGGTCTTAAACACACAAGTTCTTTTCTAGGGCTAAATGTCTGATATAATGGAAAGGGAATATAGGCAATAAGTAACCAGCTAAATTTCTGTGTGTATGAACGAGCTCTATTTGAGTTTGCAGTCGTGTGTAGGTACCCCTTTACAAATTGATTTCATTTTACTAAATTCTAAATTATGCATAAAACTTCCGTGACATATTATTGGTCAAGTTCCCATCAAAGTCAGTAGAAGCCATGTATGTGCACATCTAGCCAAACTAGGGCCTTTTTTATATTAGGCCTGTTTCAAATGGAAGGTATTTTGCTATGTCAGTCAAGAGAATGGGAGCAAAACCCCCACCATGTACAATTTACAGGGTGTTTTACAGAAATTCTAGGTAAAACAAGTTTGATACATCATGAAAGTGTAAACTTAATAAACACTGTAAAATCCTATGTCTTCATCTCATCCGTATTCATTTGAAGAGAGAGTGAAAACTGCTTGTGTCCTTATGATCGAAGAACAGAATTTTTTATCACTGGTGGCCGAATCTGGCAAAACTCCCATCAAGGTCAATTTATTAGTTTTGCTTGAGTTTAGAATTAAGACCTGAAACATCACTGCACTAGTGTGATTTCTGCTGTTGTTTAGTTCTAACATAGAATTTTAGTTTACGTGCTAATAGATACAGTCTTTCTTTGGGGTTTTCAGTGTTTGTCATTTACCAAATGATCTACACTT